GGGGGGGGGGGGGGGGGCTAATCTATTTTTCGGTAGGTGTGGGGAAGGGGTGCCACCCCTCTAGCTAAGGGCCTGGCAAAGGAAAGAAAATGTAAACTTGCCATCTACCATCCAACTAGCCAAAAAAACAAACCCAACTTTTGTAATTACAAAGTTTCATACTGTCTTGATCCAAATTCTGCTTAATGGCTGAGGTAAATATATGATAATCAATTCGTCCTAACGCCTATGAATCTCTACCCGGGACCACTGGGAGTAACAGCCACAGGAGGCATCTGTGAGGCTTCTTGGACTCTTTTAACCGGAAGTCTTTCAGGTATATTTGTCAGAACAATTCCTGAGACTTGTGGTATTCTCCCCTTTCACAATGTTTGGTGGTTGAGGAAAGAAGGATACCGAGATGTCTAACAGGTCTTCATGGAGTCCAAAGGAACCCGTGCTGCATCGAAACATGATTCTCTGGTGTTTATTTCAGGTCTATCTGCCATGATAACTGGATTCATCTTTGTGGACAAATTCCGCCAAATTACATCCTCGTTTCAAGATCATAAAGATTCAATGTCCTTGACCTACAGTACGCTTCCGGTTGGGCTGATCCTGTTTGCATCTGTGACGACAGCAGTAGCGAGTATGTTCTCTGGATTGACTAGGCGGTTGACCGGTTATAATTTAAAACCTGGATCCAATAATGCAAGTTTGAAATAAACCAGTATGAAATCTTTGTAAGGCATAGGATGGTTAACATAAAGAACAAAAGATGTATGACATGAATGTACTACTTCGGAACTTACAACGTAGTATGTAATAAATTCAGAAGTACATATCCATACATAAGTGGCGTTTCTACGAAGGGGACGGGCACTCCTCAGCTAAAACGCCACTGTCATACATCTTGTGTTCTGTATGTAAACCATTATGTGTATCATAGATTGACTTTCATGTTTGTTTATACGGATATTTTTTGTTACGGTACATAATTCATATCCGTGGAGCACAGGAATTTATACCAGCCACAATCAAGTATTTGTGCTATGCCCTTGTTATTTTTATTGTTCATTAATACATCAGAACTCATATACATGTATTGAAATCATATTTATTTCGTATTATAGTCCTACAAATGACTACTAGTCACCATAATCATCTGTTAGAGCCTGTGGATATGGTCAGCATACATAGTAAAAGAATATTTTGTGGCCCCTGCTAGGCCCCTCACCTGATGTTTCGTAGACACGCCACTGATGGCCAGAGCTTCTTAGACTAAGCGTTATATGTTATGACTAAATTCGGATTGACGAATGTAAATAAATTGCACTCTCTAAAAAGCGAAAATATATTTAAAAAAATAATCTACATTTGTTTTTAATTACAGTGTTATACAATATATCATTATTTCGTGTGTTGGCAACACTCAATCCACTCTCAGGAAAGATGAACGTGGTCAACTATTGTTATCGGTAATAGCACTGATTGTAATTAAATCCCAACTGTTCAATCTGGTAGATTTGGTATGGCTTAAAACGGGGGTTTTCAACCTTTTTATTTCTGTTACACCTTTCAGGACCTTTGATCGATTGCATTACCGCCTTCTCCAATAAATCCTTACTATTTACCTATTTTCTTTTAGTTTTCTCTGCTCTATTTTTCATGTCTGAGAATATAGTCTGACCGTATTGAACGACCTAAATTATAATTGTCCAAAAGGATGCCTTACTGCCCCCAAATTTCAATATTTCCCCCAGGTTGAAAACCTCTGGCTTAAAAAGTGTTGTGGATCGAAGATTTTAATACAATTATAGGAGGTTGGGATTTCTTCTATTCTATTTAAGGCATGAAAGATAGAAAGGTTACTGTCCATAGAAAGAAGAAAACTGGGCGACCGAAGCTGTAGATTAACAATAATAATAATTAGAATAACAAGAATTGTTCGTGACGACTACGACCACTACAATAATGACCACGACTAATATAACAGCACCTAGACCTATAGCTATCAACGATAGCTTTTTAGCTTGAGCCGCCTCGCTGTTGGCTGTTATCAAATCTCCTCTGTCCACAGCTCGTCTAGCCTGAAATATATCAAGCATATGTGATATAAGTACAGAGCTCTAGAGCTTACGGTTTACACAAAGAAAAGGCTGTTTGGCAGAAAAGCTTTCCATCGCCCCTAAAGACATTTCTGAAACAAAGGATCTGAATTGTTCATAACTTCAAAAGGGACATAGTCTGAAATGGATCAGTTGTCTGAAAATCGCACAACGACTTACTTGAGCTCTATTAGTCAATCAAGAATTAACCAAATAGTAATATCAATTCACATTAAATGTACTTACATCTAAAGCTCTCATAATGGCCATAATTCCAACTGGCCAGCAGCATAATAAAGTTGCTAGAACGGCTAGTCCCAAGTGGTCCGGTGGGGTGGTGTGGATCGCAGAAGTTGTCTGGGGCTGTGTCACCTACAAATATACAATGCTCCAATAACTACCTACCCTTTCTTCGCTGGGTTTGTTATTTTTCAATGAAATCCATAGTCTCTTCTTGTAACTTAGACTAGTGCTTCCATAGGAAAGTATCTCTTATAACCGCCTTATACCACCATCAACTATGGGGTTGTAAGATTCCTCACAGAGAGTTCACATAGCCAAGAATGTTCACTTGATATGCATGTTTATATTATGAAACGAGCGTTTTTTGGTATCTGATTGGAGACGAACGTAAGCATGCAGTGTACAATTAAGTATATTTACTCAGGATCGCGTAAAAAGTGTATCTTAACCTATCTGGGACCAATCCCAGACTCTTAAGATGACACAAACTCGAGTAGCCCTACAAAATGGAGACTGTTCGTCTGTTTTAGAGTAATGGGCTGTCATCTGTAATGAACCTACCACTACATTGTTGAATTGTCCAGCTTGGTTTGGTTGATAGTATTGCGGTTGGCCGCCATATTGCTGTGGTTGGCCGCCATATTGCTGTTGTTGGCCGCCATATTGTGGTTGTTGGCCAGCATATTGTTGGGGTTGTCCGGCATATTGTTGCTGCTGGGCTTGTTGTTCTGCGGACCAGTTGGTGTAACCCCCACCAGCATTTCCACCGTTGCTGTTGGTAGAATCGTCGTAACTTGGTGGTGCTGGAGATCAATTTAAAGGGGGTATTATTTCATATTTTGATGTATTCATACTATCATAGGCATTCCAAGTGTTTCTTTATAGCCTCCAAAAGCATTACGTTAATGGACATTGGCTGGGCAAAGATGGCAAGAAAGCATGGTGAATTTAAAACAAAGATCGCCCCCACCACCACCCTCTCTTTAAACTCCTATTTTTATGTCCGTTGCAAAAATCGAATCTTCCTTTTCCTTGAAAACGAGACTATCTCAATCGTTCTTCAAAGGGAAACTCCATGCCAGGGCTATGGGTAGAGAGAAATTAGTACAAGCAAGACAATTCCCTCAATCAAAAATCTCGTTCACAGACTGGAAAAATCGGGAGTAAAGGTCTATAGTATAGACTCCCCCAAAGAGAAGTATATTCAGGTGTTTCAAAAAGAGTAAGCATGATCTGCCTCTTGCGTGACACCTGCCATTACTACAATGGTCAAAATCAAGAGATACAACCAGATCAATTGATTTCTGACAAAACAAATCCAATTGTTTCTGCAAGACCCGTTGGCCCGTCGCCACCATGTAAACATCTTAAAGAACTACCTCAACAAATCAGCATGGCTGGGAATGGATATTACAAAGATCAATGTTTCATAATAATTGTGAAAATTAAAGAATTGGTATGAACTTTTCTACCCGACTTTCTTCCCTGGGTTGTTAAAAGAAATACATCACAGTTTGAGCTATACCATGCAGTGCGCAAAGGGGGGAATTATGAAGAGGACCTAGTAAAAAATAAATTTCTTCTTACCTTGTTTTTCGGACATATTGGAAATTATTTTGAAACGAGATAAGATACAGATATTGACTCCCCAAATATTTATCAGGTTGAAAAAGAAAGACTGATAACAGGTTGATATTTCACATATATCACATGCTAAGGGTCAGGGGTCGTGTATTGCTCATTATTGCCAAATTTTAAAGGAAAGTTGATACGATACGTGATGAGTTATATTGATATTGATAATTATTTGTATAATTAATAGGATTAGTTCAAATGTAAATTAGAACTGTCTGTAATCATATGACCATTGACCTAGAGACTGCACCAATCCAAAGTGTTAAAAAACACAATCAGAACATGTTTATCTTTGTATTGGGATCGGGGTCGTAGCAACGCTTGATTGTTCGCGGCTTGGGGAGGGGGTTGGGGCATGATATATATTAGGGGGTATTATTTAAATTTCAGACTTTCGTCTTTTACAACATTTTATCTTTGATGATATGAGAAAGGACGGGTAAGGCCATGTGTAATGGGCTTTCCCAAATACCCGTGAGCCCTATATATATTATATATTATGTAATTTGATCAGGCTAATCAAGGAATGTTTCCTACACAGTCCGAAGCACTCAGTGGTCTTCGATTTATTTTCAATAAATATTTTTCAACCATGATAAAATTATTATTAAGGGGTATTTCAATTGTTCAGATCTCGAACTCAGGATTAGAGAGACATCAATGTTCCGGAGTCTCAAGCGCAGGGTCTACGTTGCCTTGTTGACGTTACACAGTGTTTTTCGGACTAAAAACCCCTTGATAAATTGTCTGTATAGCTTAACAAAGGTTTTTTTTTTCAAGTATTGTACAATATTTGATAAAACTTAAATTTCATCAGTCAAATAACGAATAATGAGCTTTTACGACATTGATTTTTACGACATAATCATTTTCGGCACCGAGATCTATTAAAACCAATTGATGGCAGAAAGGGGAGATAATTCGCGCGAAATTTAATTTTGTAAACAAACCTCGATTCTGTTCTGCCTCAAAATGATGAAAACAAACCGAATGAATCGAGAATTGAAGGCTTTTGGTGAGAATCCACCGTTTGGAATTTCATGTTGGCGATCAGAAAACAGTACAGCTGAACTTGAAGCACGTAAGTAAATAAAAACCCTGTCTCTTCCCCAATCTACAGTCTACTTATTCTACATTCAAAAATCAATTACAAAATCTTAGTCTTAATATAAAACGGTTTTCCGAGTTGTCATAGTCATTGGTCCGAGACTCACAAAGTGGTCCGAGTGTGTTATGAAAAGTGGTCCGAGTTTGTTTTGTATTTCTCAGCTCAGTATGAGTTATCAGTCTTTTCTACTTTTACCGGTAATGTTCTTATTTCTGTCCCAGTCTTAGTATAGCTTGGAGCTGACTGTGTCTGTATCCCTGTAGTTAAACTAGGAGATGCTCTGAATTGGTGTCATTTTAGTGGCATGTAGTGGTTTCCTCCCTTTACAAGTTTCTCCCTTGTGGTTTCCCCCCAGTGGTCTCCACCTATTTTTAATCCTAGTGGTTTCCTCCCCTATTCTAAGTGGTTTCCTCCCCTAATTAACATATGATAAACTAATTAAAAACAGTTAATTTTAGCCACCATTTTAATATTTTCCAGAAATATTGGGAGGAGAAGGGACGCCATATGAAAAGGGAGTTTTTAAGCTTGAGATAGATGTACCAGACAAATATCCCCTGGTTCCCCCTAAAGTTAGATTTATCACTTCAATATACCATCCAAATATTGACAATGCTGGAAGAATTTGTCTGGATATATTAAAGATGCCCCCACAGGTATGTTTTGGTTTAAATCAAGTCTTTTAAGAAGATCACATATTCGTCAAACATTTCGGACGTTTTGCCTTAAACAAGAGTATGTTCTTTACACTCTATGATTTATGTAAGGGTTTGTTTTGGTTTAAATGAAGTTTAAACCTATAAGAAACCTATTTAAGATTTAGTCAAAACTTATGCGTTGCCCTTCACAAGAGTATGTTCTGTTTTCTTGATGCCTAAGGGTGTATTCAGGTTTTAACATGACTATTTTTTTGGAATGTTAGGTTGTATATTGATCAGAACCACAGAATATTTCTGTAAATCTTTTAGGGTGCTTGGCAGCCAATGTTAAGACTAAGTACAGTTTTACAGTCAATTCAGTTATTAATGGCGGAACCCAACCCCGAAGATCCCCTCATGACTGAAATAGTAAGTTAAATTTTCCTCAGAATATCGGTAAATTTATATTAGTGATAGACCAATCAGATGAATGGATTGCTAAAATCATCTTAATTTAAGATTTGCTTAAACAGGCTTCAGAATTTTTAAGATTGTGGACCACAGCCATATATGACCACCGCGTCATGCGGATGGTAAATATTCAAGATTTTTGGGCAAGGGCAATATCTCTGCTTATAACGGTCGAAAATAGCTCAAATTCGTTTTACCATTATGTACACACATACCGAGGGGTGCCGACAATTTATACTCCCACATAGAGAGACGTGGGCGTATAAAAATGTAACATGCAGGACTTTTTCATGTTAATACCTCGATCACCGAGCTGGATTCACAATGGTAGTTTAAGAAGGGTTGAAACTAACTTTTTGACACCTCCAACCTTTTAGTTAGCTATAGTACACAAGTCAGTTTTCTTTTGAACTAAATTAATGAGTGTATTTGTAGGCTAGTGAGTATAAATATAATAAACCAGCTTTCAATAAACATGCTGAAGAATTCACCAGAAAATTTGCCATGGTTTGTATATTTCTCTATATATTTGGGCTAAATGGTTTGGAATTTTCTCTTATTCCAACATTTTCTTCTGTACCTTTGAGTTCTTTTAAACACAACTTCCGACTATCATTTTCCATTCACATGCTACTTGGTTTGCTAATGATTAAAATTGCAATACTGCCTTGAGGAAGCAGACAAGTTTGGAGTATTGCCTCTTTATGGACAAAATCTTAACTTAGAAAAAATAACAAATAATGAATTCTATTTTGATGAACCTATTATTTGGAGTTTTTATCTTTCAGACAAGTTCAATTTCAGTTAATGATGAGGAAAATGAGAATAAACGTAAGAATTGTGATAAAACAGACTCAAAAATTGAGAGTAAGAAATCCAAGACAATGGGAGATGTGACAAACATTTCTACCTAAAAACATCAGTTAATTTATGCTTGTGGTTCAGACAGTGCTATTAACTTTGCCCTTAATTCAGTAGTCTAAATATATGCTTTACAAGGTAATAGAGTCTAATTTCAGCTTTAGATTGAGAGTCAAAAGTCAAGAAGTATGGGGATGTGGCGAATATCTCTTCCTAAAAACTTAGGGAAAAAATTCAGCATTTGGAGTAGTCTGACTGAAATTGAAATGTAGATATACAGTCCTACAGCGGGATTGGTAATGATCTGTGAATATCTGGCATGATTGCAAGGGTGTGGATGACCAGACCCATCATGGTTCTGTCATAGCCTATTGCCACCCAGTTGAATTCCAGGTGGACGCATCATATACTCAAGTCTAACATGTTAGTTTCTGTTAACTTGTTTTGTAGGATAGATTAGAGTTGCCACAGTTGCTTTAAACAATCTGCAAGTGTACACCGACTTATTTGACACTGTTGAAAAATTCTATAGCGTTCTGTCAATAAATCAGTCAGTGTGTTTCATACATTACTTGTATTGTGATATCTTCATTCTTTATCAAACCAACAGTCTAGAGTTGAGGACCATTTGACAATAACATAACAAAATCAACAATAAAGACAAAAATTATGATCAATTTTAGTGATTGACCAATCTTTGTGAAAGAGCCCCAGTTTCAGATTTTGTCTGTGAAATAAAAATAAAAGTGTTAATATGTAAATAATGAGTTGTTTATTTATAAAGATTTGTTTTTACACACAGTAGAATTTACAAACTTTATACACAAAATATTGATCCTTTATTTAAAGGTTGGGATCGTGACAGAAAAATTATTTTTTTTGATCCTGTTCAGTCATCATTGAGGATCATGGTTGGTGATTTTTTAAAAAACCCACCTGGACATTTTAAGACATAACTAAAGATCTTATACAAATTTTCATCAGGAATTCGTGAAAAATACGAACAGTATAGCACATTTGCATAGAATATTTCCTAAAGATCCAAATTGCAGTCAGTCATTTTAGAGCTGCAATCCGATAGGATAGGCAAGTACAGCCCTGGTACTAAAAATTTTAATGTCATTTTCAAAGGTTGGTAATTCTGGACACACATGTCTGAAGGCTCAAAATTCGATGGTGAGCTATGAACAATATTACTGATTAATTCTCCTTTGTTAGACTCAAGTACGATTGGTCAAACAAATGGTAAACCTGTCCTTTTAAAATCTTCCTAATAATCTTATGTATCAAAAGTGACTTCTCTCCATGTAGTTCTGTCTTCCAGTCCCAACCTTTAAAACTTCAATATAACAAATTATTATACTATACTATAAACATGATACATCTTGCATAAATATAATTAGTGCATAACTTTATTCTAGATTCTTTATAACAATATTTACAAACTGAAGAGGGTGAGGGTATTTCAGGTTACTGTGCTATCTATGCTGTTGTAGGTAATTGGTTTGAGGGCTAAAGACTGCTCTTGTGATAACTATGAAGCCAATTTAAGGGGGAAGGGGATGATATGAAGCCAATTTAAGGGGGAAGGTGATGATATGAAGCCAATTTGAATTGTGAATTCTTAAATGGGCAAATTTTTGAAAATTTACAAGCAAATGAATTTGATAAAACAATGAGTACTCCCTCAGCAGACAATATAAAATATTCTAGCCGCCCAAACACACATATAATTTAAGTCATAATTTTAGTACAAAACACTTTCAGACGAACAGAAGAATACCCATTAAACAGAGCCTCGTTTTCTGACCCTACACCAGCCAACAAATATCAATATAGCTATCAGATGTTTGGACTGAATTAATTACAAAACTAACTAAATATTATTTCAATCAGATACAAATTTCATAAATAATGAGACATTTGGAAGTGTCCCAATTTAGGTTTTTAATGCTTAACATAAAATTCATATATACAAAACCAATTAGCTTAAAACAAACGAACGCAAGCAAAATAAATAATGTTTATAAGTCAATTATACGTTTTGCAATATTTATATAAATAATCATGAAAGATCTATATTACTCTCCTTTTCTGGAACACTAAAATTATTATTATGCTAATTGCAGTTGAACTGTGCTTTTCATTGTTTTTATTGAAAAATGTTCTTCATAATTATAGCCACCTTTCTGGTATCATAGTTATAGTTATTTGGTTAGATTGTACATCAGTGAATACAGCCAATCAGAGTCCTCGACAGAAAGTCAAAATTTACCATGTTTACAGTCTGTCTATCAGGAGATATGAATGGCTGTATTTGCTAGCGTACAATCCAATCAAATCACTGTATTTCCTGAAACAAGAATGGTGGCTTTTGCAGTTAAGGTATATGAAGAATTATTATCAATGACACCAATATATTGATATTAAGACAACTGACTATTGTAGTCAAGGTATAAAACACAGTTTGTAATAGTTTGACATTGTGAAGGTATATTATCAATAATCCCTAATATTGGTATCTAGATGACTGTATCCCTTTCACTCAGTCACTGCATTGATCATTGTGGCCTTTATTTTATTCTAATCAACTAATCACAGAAGTCAGTACTAGGATAACCAGTACTTTGAAATGAATAGTCCTTGCTTCGGACCTAGGCCCATGCCCGAGTTAAATTCTCATTTCACCTTAACACCAAAAAGTAGAAATTATAGAGAATGCATATTATGTGATTAATACTTGATTGGAGTATAATTGAGTATTTTGGCAGTTTTGTCCTCTATCAAAGTTTTCTGTCATACAGATCATGTAGATCTCATTAATATTTCATATCATGTTTATTAAACATTGCACAATTTGAATCATTAATGGTTGAAAACGGAAAAGTAAAAACAATGCAAGGAAACTACAATTAGTTAGTCTATAGATAAGTTTAGTTTTCAGAACACTGTATCCTTTCTTTCATAGAGAACAAAAATTGAGCTTATTTACAGTAGAGGGAAAGCTAAGGGCAATAAGTTAGTGATAGGCAATGTTTTGGTTTTGACAAATTTGCTCACATGGAAAAACAAAACCAAGCACTACTTCAACCAGCTCTTGAAAGCTATCACTAGAATTTAACTAGAAACTATAAATATTAACTTAAACTGACAAAGGCACTTATCCATATTGTTATAATAATTAAACTAAACTAGCTTACAAATAAAGATTTAAATTTTTCAAAAGGTTAAATAATTAAGATTTAGAGAAAACAATTGATAGTTTTGTCAATTTGGGAATGTAAATTCAATGTTTTTCTATTGTAATGGTTTTGAAGTTTTTAATGCATGACTTAAACGCCATTAAGACTTTCATATGGCATGTATTACGGTATTACTATATCAAACTTCCTTGAGTGGTATTTAGTAATTGATGATATTAACACGAACATAATTATATGGATAACAATTACTTTAATAAATAACTTGCGACGTTATCCATATAATTGTGTTCGTGTTACTATATCAAAGAAGAGAGTAATAACATAATAATCATCTTCACAATGTCTTCTTATACCTTGACTGCAATGGCCCACTGTTATGTATTAATGAACTTTATTAATGCAGCAATTTGATTGGATTGTATGATAGCTAATACAGCCAATCAGAACCTTTCACAGAAAAATGACAAATAATAATTACATGAAATCAAGGGCTCTGATTGGCTGTATTCACTGGCATAAAATCCAATCAAATTGCTGACTGTGAAATAAGAAAGTGGGCCATAGCAGTTAAGGTATAAGATGAAGTTAGTTATAGCTTGACATTGTGAAGATACCTTGTGTTCTTTATAAGTATTTTAATGTAAATAATATTAAAAATATATCACTTTCAATCTTTTGCAAAATATAAACAATAGAAATAATTTTATGCATAAATTATTGTTGCCAATTATCAATAAATTGTGTAAACACTTAACAAAACACCCCTGATTGTACAAATGAACTCTTCTATTCATATATCTATATTGACTGAGAAATCATGTTAGGAAGAGTTTAATAACTAAATTGAGGGATGCTAACAGACTATTCTATTTCCAGAATTAGGTTGAATATGGCTAAGATATGAAATAATTTGACGAAATGAGTGGTTCTACATTCATTGATGCGTGTCACCAGATTTATAATCTGGGCCTTCTTCTTCGTAACTTTGAAACTGACCCTGAAAATAGAAGAGGAAATGTCAGAAATTATGAGTGAAGGGTGGAGAGGTATATTAGAGTTATTTCCTGTCAGTATTGTAGTTTTACATTATACTTTAACACACTGGTATAAAAAACTGAATGAACGAATTCTCACAGAAGCAATTATGAAGTTCCACTTTTCTGAAAATTTTTAATTTTTTTGTCAAGTATAAGTTTGTTTAATTCTCAAGGTTCCATAAATTTCAGAACATTTTACTGTTGCTGTTGATGTTTCCATTGGTCATATTCTAACTTACACGGGTTGACCTTGGAAGAGCCAAGAGCAAGATTAAAATCAAAAGATAATATGTATAGGGAGAGTATGGGTAATATTTTTTGAAATATTGCTCTATAAAAATATAACAAAACTCTAAACTATGGGGATTCTCCTTCACATCACAATTAAGAGTATGGATAACTTTTATTGAAAAAGGTATTTTTTGACTATGACCTACATCTTATTGAGGGTTGTTCTCAGAATAACGAGACAAGATCAAGATTAGACTCAAGAGATGATATATGAGTTATGATAACTAATTCTGAAATATATATTTATCAGAATATAACCAACTTCACTGGGTTGTCCAAAATAAAGAGCTAAGAGCATAATTCAATATATGTGGTTGAGTAACTATTTTTGAAAGATTGTAGGAGTTGTCCTTGGAATAAGGAACTGAATATGAGAATATGTTTCAGACTAAACCCTATCTCCTAAAGTAATTAATATGTAAGTAGAAAGATGTATCAACTAGACTATAACTTACCTCATAAGGATTGTTCTCAGAATAAGGCGCTGATGGCAAGGTTAATATAAGTTAATATATTTCAGACTTAACCCTAATTAGTAATTAGTAGTGAGTAGTAATTAATATATGAGTAGAAAGATGTATCAACTGTACTATGACCTACCTCATAAGTGTTGTCCTCAGAATAAGGCGCTGAAGGCATTGTACTATCATCATCTGAGGAATCATCACCAGAAGAATCAGGAATCTCTATTGGAGTATCTATAAACAGAAACATTCCAAATTTGAGATCCAGACAGCCGAAAGTTAGCTCTAATACAAAAATAAATCCACTGTAATAACTTATACTCTAAGAATGTCTAACACATTTACAGTAGCAAAAATTAATATGTTATTCTTTCCTATTAAATACTAGCTATTTTGTAGCTGACCTAGGACCAATCAACAAATTTAGCAAAAGGAGTCAAACTTTAAGGGCCATATGCAGCGCTCGTACTTTACCTAAACTTTGACTAAAGTTAGCCAAAGTCCAACTTTAGTCAAGGTAAGAGCGTTGCCCCAAATTCAAAGACATCATCATCCATGCCAAGGAAGGTAATTTATATTTTCTACTCCTTAAGCTTCTCAGGCCAGAAAGCTTTATAGTACATGTATGTTACTGTCACAGGGTTCAATACTTGCCTGATCATTTTCCCAATCAAGGCGGAGAAAAGGGAGATAAATAAGCTTCTTTCAAAAGCCTTTGAAGCATGATTTGAATTCCAATGAACAAGGCATAGCAATCCACTTTCCGATTTGTTACATTTTCTATGAAGGACGACATTAGGGACTGGTTTTGATACTTTAAATTGAAATCGAATTGTCAAGATATAGAAAGGGAAGTAACTCACATTTTCTAGTTTTACCACCAGCGTTATTGGTATTAGAAAGTTGATTGTAGCACGTTAAACAGACACGGAGTGGCTTGGACGATTGTAGAGGAAGTAACCATCTTTTACTGGTACACGAATTACACGCCACTATACCACACTTTCTACAGTGGTGCTGAAATTTTAAAACGTTAAACATACGGTTTATATACGCACTAGTAATTTCTTGATCTTATTCAAGAAGTGTGCTCATTCCATAATATTGCCTTGTGTTTGTTACATATTCTCCTCATTGCTAAATGTTGTTCAAGGCTTATACACACCAGTAAGTTAATAACAATTTTGACCTATTCGCTTTAAGCTTTTGAGTCCAAATCCATAAGGGCTGTTGAGGATGTAGCTAGCAAGGTGTTGCTCTCTCCTCTAGAACACCTGATAACACTATGCGACTTGGCTTATCCAATATCTATTATGGATTTGAATGTAAGTCTTTATGGATAACAATCACTTTATTTCTGATTCCACTGATTGTTATCAAAATGTAAATTATGTATAATGAAGTACCATAGAGGCAAAATATAAATATATACAGGCATGTAACAATGTGGCGTAATGAAACTAATGATGATAATATACTGGTTGTTGATAAAGTATTGGCTACGCCTATCAAACATATCTATTTTGGAGAGTACACAAAGGCATTTACATTTATTTGATAGGTCTTCTTTTAAATCTCTTTCAAAGTCATACCTTCTCCATTTTTAAATCAAAAAGTAACTAAATCTTTCCCACTCTACATATCATAATGTTTATGACAGACAATTATGCAAACAAGAAGTTTTAAAATTAAAACCTTGATTAAATCTCTTCCTACATTTTATGAATCATGCAAACAATAAAAAATATCAAGTACCATTACCTTTCTTTTTAAAACGCTAAATTCTGAGGCTTTACAGTGCATACAAGTAGTGGCATCATCATCAGGTACCCAGACTGGTGAATCATTATCAGATGACTGAGTAGTACCTTCTGTAATACACAAAAATATCTCATTATACTGATCCGACACCTTTGTAATAATATGATCTAATGTGATCAATTATTGGTTGAAAAATAATAAATTGAAGGCCTGGGCTTACTCAACATCCATTTTGGGAAATTCACATAGGAATTTACATTTATTAGATGCATTTTTTTCGTATCCAGAACAGGTGTTTGAAACATGTGATGAACTCGTGTAAGATGCATGGAAAATAATTCAGGTTCAATTAAACCATTCTACAATCCAGACCTTGACCGCTTTCACAGAAAAGATCTTTCTATATCAATTTATGTTATTTTCTCTACCTACTTTTTATCAGTAGATCACTGACACATTTTCTAATATGTGCCATCCATTCTTTTTTCTCTGTATTCGTAGCAGCGAAAACAGCAAATGATTTACTTGGACTAATAATTTTCCATCCATTTCTTAAAACTAAAAAATAAAAGGACAATAAATATTGTTATATTTGGTCTGATGAAAAACTTATTATTCCGAATCATTGTCGTGCTTTGAGAAGTATTCTGAAAAATTTTAAAAAAATACGAAAAAAAAAATAAAAAAAATATAAAAAAAAAAGAAAGGAAATTAAAAAAAAAAAAAAAAATTAAACAAAATAAAAAAATCAATTAAAAAAAAATAAATAAAAAATAAGTGAATAGACAAAGAAAATCTAAAAACAAAAAAAACATGAGAACGATGGGCCACCATTGGATATTTGAAACAAGACTAAGAGCTTAGAATATTTTAACAATTAACAGATAACTTACGGCCTTCATCTGGTATATCTTCTAATTTGACATTTTCTAAATCTAATATATGTTGTTTATTATACTGTAAATAACGCAAATACATTATTTTGACAAAAATATCAAAATTAAAAAATTTGGTCAGTCTTTCTGAAATACCAACACATCATGAATATTAAACTTTAATCAATTTGGCTATCCTGAATCATACCATGGGAATAAATTACAGAGTAAGGTTACTGTGACAAGAAAAGACACTGACAGTGATATTGATTGATTTGAATATGAAATACTTCCAAATTTTCTGCTACAGTTTTGACTAATGAAAAGCAACACCATACAGTGTGCAATGAGGAAAGTTTTCCTAGACATTAACGGGTGTTACGAATTCAAAAATGGTAAAAAATCTGAATTGACTTACTTTTTTCTTGTGTAAAATTATATTTCCGTAAACTAAGGCATCATTAAATAAAAAAAATTGACGAGGTTTCTGTTTTTTACGACATAATTTAGTTAGTACTCCTTCTCCTACTAACACTCTACCAGGTACCACTAGAGGCTGAAATATAGAAATATCAAGTATTATTTGGCTCATTTCAGGTCTACCTCTATATCTTTTTTAGACTTGAAGATTTGATTTAAAGGGACAAGTTTGCCATTTTCGGTGGTTGATTTGGGTCATTCATAGTTTTATGAAATAAGCCTATTAGAAATGTAAGAAAAACGCATAATTTCTTCAAAAATACCTCAATTAATTAATAAAGAAATTTACTTTCAATTTCTATATGACAGAGTCTCAAATGGATGGCCAACCTGTCCCTTTAATGAGTGTTGCTTGTATAGGCACATATTTGTGACCGAGACTACAGGCTAAACTAGGCATGGGGATTATTCATACCTCATTGCTTTTGTCAGCTTATGAATAATTATCTAGATAGATTTTCTATGCTGTTGATTTGTACACTTTACCTTGTGGATTACATTTGGGATGGGTACTTTTGTTATGTTGTCAACTTGTGAACTTTGACTTAAGAATTGCAATTTGTAGGTATTAGGCAGTTTTGGCAGTCTAATTAAAACCAGACTCAACTTTCATTTCGTTTTTTTATTAGTCTTTATTTTTAGTATAGCGACTTTAGATTAGAGTCTTGAACACTCTTCAAAATAAACTTTTGACCTAACCTGCTTTAACCAATAACATTTATGCCTTCTCCAGCGTTAGCATTTTGTGAGAGATTGAAAGAATTCAATTGTTTAAAGAAGATGACATCAGATTAGGTCAAAAGGTTAGGTATTAGCCAGTTTTGATTGTCTTCAATTGATTTGTGGACTTTGACTCATGGTTGCAATTGCTGTAGGTGCATATCAGTATTCTCTTGTGAGTGGGACTTTGCCACTTGGAATGCAATTGGGATGGGTGGACTTAGTTAACTTCTGAACTTTTGACATTAGAATTGTGAATTGAATAGACATTAGCTAGTATTTACTTTGATTCAGAAAAAAAATCAAGCAGTATTTTCTCACACTATATTTAAGATGAAAATTCAATACAAATCAATAAATCTTTACCTGTCCCGATGAACCAAAACATTGTTCAACAAACGCAATTCTTCTTGTGTTTGCCTCAGAATTCACTGAAATACAATAAAAGACCTCATGAATATCTGGTCGAAAGGTATAAAGTCCTTATATTAATTGCTTTACAAGTTTATAGATTATCTGATAAAACATGAAATTCTTGAAAAATCATAAATTCATCCAAGAATTATATAAATTAAACAATTACTGTAAAAGAAATCAGGACGTTTGACTCTTTCCTTTTCCATATTCATTGAACAATTTCAAAATTTTGATTTCCTTCTAGTTATCCATTCAATCCATTCAGATAGTTATAATAATTTTTCTAGGCAATTTTTCTCATAAACAGCACAACAAAAAAACAACTCGAAAAGTATCACTAGTAAAATTTCATTTAATTTTCAAGTCATATATGATACTATATATTATACTATAGTAGATACCTCTGACTCTCTGGATTGAATTTTAGTTTTTCCTATTTTCAATAAAAATTATATCAAAATAACCATATTCCTTTACCCTCCAGTATCAAAATAATAAAGTTATCAATCAATAGAATCAGAACATTATCATTTTATTTCTCTCTAGCCTTTAGCTTGAATAACAAATGTACTAGAAATAAAATAAAAGAAAAGTTTACTTTCTTGTTCAATGAAGTGTAAAATTATTATTGATTTTAATTGTTTAAATTGAAGAAAGAAGAGGATACACTGGTTTCTCAGATAGATCTGATTCTGATGTTAGTAATTTAATTCAAAGCATGAAAGTAATTTTTAAATTCTAACCAATTTATTAAATACAAAGATACTATAAAAATCTGCATCAAACAAATGTAAAAACAATTCCTCAATCAAAGCCAAAACAATCACAATCAGACATTATAAATATCTAAAAAGTGTCTCACAATTTTAATTTATTTCTCCCTTGACAATACTTTGAATATCCAGACAATAAAAAACATACCAAAATGGACTTTGATTTTCTTGGAAGTAAAATAACATTTTTATACATTTGAGTACTTTGAACGGACACTTCTGGTATGATATAAAGGTTACAAACTGGTACATTTAAGATCACCAAATGTGCAGAGATAATGTACTGAAAAGATCCACTTTGTACTTCAGATCTCCACTTTTTTCATTTTTTCTAACAATTATTCCTGAGGTTAATTCATAGAAATTTATACTATAAACATCTAATGGAAAAATATCATAACTATAAAGTATATAATGGAAAGGGACACATATTTGCCATCCCTTTGACCAACCATACTTTACTTTATAGACATTAGACAGTACAATTTATCACAAGGATAAAAGATAGTTGTAACTAAATAAATAACTTACTGATAACAATTTAAAATCAAAATTCAGCAAAAGTTAAGAAAAGATTCAGAGGTTACTGACAAATGAATCCTGACTAACTAGAATGATGAATGACAAACTGACTCTAAAAATAAACCAGCAGTGTCACTCACTGAATAACTCATCAATATATCATAACTTCAGCAGGTGCTTGTTCACTGTGACGTCCGCGCTGAAATGGAACTTGCACTTCCTTTTTCATAACAATCCACTTCAGACCTTTGACCTGTCGATAATAAACTATGGGGGACAATAATTTTACAGTATTTTGAAAGATCTAGATAAACACATTCACTCTAGGATAGAAATTTTTGGATTCAATCTTTAGAAGAGAAGTTATTCAAGATAAAGTATAAAAATAAAAATTTTTACCAAGTCGGTCCACCATTTTGGATTGAGTCACCTGATCACGTCTGATGCCCAACAAATTTTTTTTTTTGATTTTTCATGATTTTATATTGTTACAAATATAGAGTATTTGCAGACTTTTTACTAGAAAAATTTAAAGATCTAAAAGCTTTTTGTAAAGATTTTAATTTTTTGGGACAGTTTTCACAAAAATCATCAAGATTTTAGATTTAAAATAGAGTTACGTCCCTTGTTTTGAAGCTCATCAGAATAAATAAAGTCACATGACTTGAAGAAGGTGACAGTTCGTCAGGAAAGGAAAATAATAAAATTGTGAAAATGGTTTCTCCGATTTGTGGACCGAAGCTTTCAGCTTATTGTAGTATCTTGAGTGTTTGGGGAATCGTTATGTTGGTACGTTGGATTTCTTTGTGTTATTTTTGACTTTTACTTGCTTTTCAGGTGGAAATACTTCTTCAGTTTCTCCATCACATCAGTACGAGTATCATGCTGCTATTTATTTTACTATTTATTGTACTTATAAATGATTTTCATTATTACAAAATACAATGTCATTTAAATAGACCTCTAATTATAAAATTCGATTAGATGTTCGATTTTATGATAAGGAAAAACTTATCCAACATTATTACCGTTACTGCATTATAAAACCAATATCTTTCTAATCCAATTAGTTTCTATCATCTTGTCTCTTGCTTTATAAAAAATAAACAGTTTGTTGCCAACATTGGTGCTGATTTGCAGCAATCTGAAGTTGGTAAGAAACTAATAAAATGAGACTTTTATGGCTTCACAACTAATTTGACATATCATACATATAAATTGGACATTATGATTCTAAAACCCCAGTGGTATGCTTATTAGTGCTGATTTTCAACAATCATACAATACCAAAAGTCAAATCAAGACTCTACAAAACCTGAACTTAGATTTTCAGTTATATTTTGAAGTTGGCATAAGGATAATTTGTGAAATTTGGAAAGCTTAGAGGCCGAACATTAGTTTTCACATTGGTGCAGATTTTTCAACAATCATACAATTCCATTCCAAGAGTCCAACTCTACATAACCTAAACTTATTTTGAAGTTGGCATAATTTGTAAAATTTTGAAAGCTCAGTGGTCGGACATTAGTTTGCATTGTATTGAACTCTTGATTTGAAAATAAAATGTAATATTTGTGTTGCTAAGAGTCATTTTAATCAAGACAGTGTAGAAATGATAATCTAGGTCATGAGTTATTGTGTTTGATGTAGTGGTGAGGTTTCTATATTATAATAAACTGACTTTTTGTACTTCTTAACATTTTTTTGTACTTTACTTGAATTTCCTTTTCCTCTTTTGTACATATGTATATTTATTAAACAATATATGGAAAATTATGAAGAATTTTAAAAATGTTTTCTTTCCTATGTTTATTTCATCCCTCTATCTTCTATTTACACCATACCAATTTTTCTTCTTCTTCTTCCATTAAAGTCCAGTCTACCATCTATCAAACAAATTTGGCCAAGAGTCTTAGAGATTCAAAAGAAGTTTCCTAGCCTTACTAAGCTTAACATGTATTTAGGGACACCTACAGCTTCAATAGTAACAACATAATGGCACTATCATAAATATCATTTGGCCTGGAAACCGGGAATTTATAACTTTACTGAATTGGCATGTAGAAATATAATAGAATGTTGAATTTTTGTGTTTTTTCATATTTTCCAGGGGCTATTAGGACTGTTCTTCCAGATCAGAAGCCCAACTTTAATAGAAGATATTCCTCTGGAAAATTGGAATGGAACATATTCAGAAGCAGTAGAAAAATTTGAACAGACGGCCATGAATTGTTGGATAGCTGCTGGAATTTATGTGGTTTTATTTATTTTTTCATTCGTACAACAAAGGATGCATTCACGAGCCAGTTATGAAATGTCGTAAAAACCCTGATGAAATGATATTGTGTATGAATTAGCAAGCATTTTGTGTTATAAATCCATTTAAATTTTTGTGTAAATATATATTTATGTGAGGTAGATACTGTATATGTATTTTCTGGTAATCTAAACAATACAGACTATATATGCAATATAAAGTTGGCTTCTCTTGTGAAACAGTAAAACTTATGAAAAATCTTTAACATAGATGAATTTTCTTATCGTTAGAAAAAATAATCCCAAGTTTTTTGACTACTCTAGTTAACATCATTCTGTCAAAAATAGCTATCAGAAGATAAGTAAGAATCTGCAATTTTTTAAGCCAGTGTGCAACTCTCAATTTAATGCAATCAGAAGATAAGAAAAAGTCAGCAATTTTCTTACTAGCTGACAAATTTCCTTATTATATATTAGAGGCTAGCTTAGAGTCAGCAAGTTTCTGACTTGTGAAATATTTATTAAAAGATTTTATTACTATAATCGATAAATTATCAGCAAATTTGTGAGCTGTAACTCTAATCTGAGTGTTTATGAACAAAATGTAAATATTATTGTTAGAATTGTATTGTTATAATCAAGTAGGTGTCAGTTTGGTCTATTATTATCATTTTTAAAGTCCTTCTTTATAATTCTTGGATATTTATACCTTTGGAAATTTCATACATGGAAAACACTATTATATTTTGGGTATATATGATCCTGAATACAATAGAAGGCTGGCTTAGTTATCATATTATGATAATTCATGGGAACTCATGCCGTAGAGGAATAGGGTTGTTTAATGGAAATTGTGCATCCCTGTCAGAGTCTACATAGCTAATACAATAGAAGGCTGGCTTAGTTTCTATCTTAAAACATTCCAAGTGATCTGTACCAGCCTGTGTCAAATTTCTTGCTACTTATATCTTCACATTGGCAAGCTCTTACCTTTTTGTAATTTCTTTTGAAGGTATTTCCATGGAATGTGTAATAATTATTGTATGTATATTAAGAATCATGTATTAAAAATTATTATTCCTTCAAAAGGCTTAAAAATTGAAAAAGAGAGTAAGCTATTGCTGCTCTCTATCCAAGTATCAATACCTCACAGCAAAATCTTTCCTATGATAAATCCATGGGAAGTCATTCCATAAAGGAGAGGAATCTGTGTTAATGGAAATTGTGCATCCCTTTCAGAGAGTCCACATAGCTAAAAATGTTTGAGATATTTATAAAAAAACACAATAGAAATCTTTCCTTTGATAAATCCATTGGGACTCATTCCATAAAGTAGAAAAAATTTTTTTATGGAAATTGTGCATCTCTTTCAGAGAGTCCACATAGCTTAAAGTATTTGAATTTATGAAGAACACAATAGAAATTAGAAACCTTTATTTAGAGTAGTAAAAATATAAAACAAAAACAAAAATAGAAGACAATAGTTTAACAACTTGTTTTAGGTTCTGAACAAATCGTAAAACGAGTACCTTATAATTTATAATGCGCACCCCTTCTTAACCTCCAGCATATCTGGGAAAATCTGTTAAAGTAAATAATGTGCACCATTTCCCGACAAAAAACTATCAGTTGACCTAACGCAGACACCATAATAGTGAGTGGTAATATGGTATATTCCACGACTTTCACGTATTCTGGCCTACTCGTAAACTTGGTTACTTAAAGTCTCTCATTCTGTTCATTTCTAGAACATTTTTGACAAGATTTATGAGGTACAGGACCAGGGCTTTATTCTTAAAAACTTAACACAAGATGATTTCAGTGTTGCAATCATTGGTTTTGTTGAATTATCCAATCACATCACTGTATTTCTTAAAATTAGGAGTATTCGAGAATAATGCCAAGGTCACTGGTTTTTATATTTTACAGGAGACGCAAAACCCGAAATTTGTCATACAAGTAACCTAAAGCAACTTGTTAAAACTATGCCTAATAACATGAGAAGAATAAATAAAAAAATAAATAATTTATCACAGATATTGATGGCAGTATTTGAAATATTTTTTGGAATTTTTCATCTACTTTTATCACAGTTTAATGCTCAATAGATATAGTTGTTTAATTATTGACTATACCAGCTGATAGATCTTCATATTTCACTTTTAAGATGTGCAGTTACTACTTATAAGAATTTGGTGTCATAGATGAGACTACTGACTACTATTCAGAATAATTGATGAAGAAATGTTAATGATATATGTATTAAAGGGGTTTTGTAAATTTTGCAATTTGCAACATTTCAATTTTCAATCAGACGTCTGTGGTTAATACCATCAGTATTTTACATAAAAAATTTACAAAACCTCTTTACAATCCCTTTAAGGATATCCTAAAAATGCAAGGTGTAGCTGGAATTAAGTTCTATCAATTGGTAAATTGACTATTTAGAAAACTATTTCCCTTCAAAACTCACAACAAAACAAAATTCATACAAATTTCATATCTTTTGGAACACTGAGTGTAGCTGGTCAAATCTGTTAATCATCTAAAAAATATATGGCCTTGTTTTGGTAGCTCTATCTATTCTCTATTGTTAAATTCTACCAGTGAACAGATCAGAGTTGACAGTCTGGAAATGATAAATAAAAATCCAAACTTGTTTCATGGTTTTAGGTGAAATCTTATATCTATTGATGCAGTGGAAAATATAAAAGTGTTTGGACCAGTACCTCTTGTATTGCCTACTATTTTCAACGGTATCCATAATCCTTAATAATCCTGCTATGTATACCACACCTAGTATATTTGCAGCTTAATGGTGGGAATAGATGATGTACGGTGCAGGATTATTGATACAGTAGAAAATGGAACAAGTGAACACACAAGGTACGAGTCTGGACACGATTCGCTTGTGCTATTTTCAACTGTATTGATAATCCTGTACCATTCATCGAAAACTATCTATTCCAACCCTTTAGTCAGTTACAGTAAATATGAAATTTGTATGAATTAATAAAATTATAAATAGCATTATTATATACATCCTAACAAATATTTATATACACACAAATTATAACTCAATGATTTTAACAAAAAAATATCTTGAATGATATAGATCAAAAACATCTTTATATCAGGGCTGTTAATTTCAAATTTTTGTTGCTTTGAAGTTCATTCAGGTTAGTTTTTGTCACAAATGTTTGAAAATTCCACAAATACTGGCTCAGTTAAATCCTACCATGGTTATACTTGTATTATATTATTAACTGTATATTATTTATTATAATTGAAGAAAAAAACCGAACTAATTTAACATTTATGCCTTGAATGGTAACTCAAGTCTAATATTTGCTATGAAGAAACAACAATAAATGATGTCCAAATACAACAAAGGCCAAAGGTGAAATTTTTAAATGTAAATAATAAATATTTAGTTAGACTAAATTGAAGACTTTTTCACAGAAATAATAATATCAGCTGAAGCTACCAAAAAATCTCATATTTTCCTTGGAATCTTCTCAATCCAATCTGTATCTCATTCCTTTCTATGATTTGCATACCCTCTCTGACTCTGACAAACCAATGCTCAAGTAATCATGTTTTTAAAAGCCATCTGTACTGTACGTTTAGTGAACTCTGTCAGAGCAGTTACTAGATAGAACAAATCACTGTCGTGGATCTCATCTACAAATAAATATTGAATATTTACATCACATCACATGCAGAAAACTATGTATAGAAATAACATTACTAATCATTCAGCTGTTACATTCATTAATGCTGAATATGCTGCAGAGCCCTAGCTGAACTTTCATGATGGATCGTTTGATTACTAATAGCTCTGGATTACCTCCCTTGACGCACTAAAGGAAGATAATTATACAGTGTAGAAAGTTATTCGCAGTATAAATACATTTCTTAATAAATGATTGCCTTATTTCTGTGAAATATTATAGTACAAATAAAAGGAAAATATACATATTCTCTCGGCACACTAAAGGATGGTTATTTAAAAATAAATTCAGTTCAGAGCATACACATTTCAGGGAGTAATGCTAGTGCATGATATTGCCCGTCCTCATAAGCTCAAGCAGAAGCATAAAGCAGGACGTACAACTCATTAAAAGGAGATATCCTGAAATGGATAACCTCCCTTGACACACTAAAGGGAGATAATTTAGACAAGAGAATTTAGTGTAGGGCTTGAAAATGGATCAAACATTAAAGGGAGAAATAAATAATAATTCAGTTTATACTTCAAAGAGAGGTCATTACACAAGGTATGGATAACCTCCCTTGACACACTAAAGGGAGATAATTTAAAAATATCAAACTGACCCGACTCTGAGAATTCGTGCATGTCTAAAATCATTTCTTTAAACATGTCCATCATAGAATTAATAAACGTGAGTCGATCTTTAGAGTTGTCCATAACTTGTAGAATATTCTGTATCATGATCATCACACAGGACAGGCTGTAGTTACTCTTCACACATACCTGGAAACAATTCAACAGATGTTAAGTTTTATCAGTCTGAGGGGTTGAAGTAGAAGGGCTTTCAAGCAATCATTTCTTTACATGGTTACTCTTTAATGTAATGAGTTTCTCCAAAAAATATTCATCAATATTTTTCTTTACAAAATTCCACAATATCGACCAATTATAAGATTCTTTGGAGTTCGGTTTTTATGACTTTCCTGGATTTTACAGGCGCCCCTAGTATAAGACGATTCTTTGGGCCAATGGTTAGGTCAGGGTGTCTGAAACTAATGCAAACCCTTTCTGGGCGATTCCTTCCAGAGAGTTCGCTTATCTAATATTTTGTAATTTTAGGGTAGATATCAGTACGTACCAAACAGAAAGAAGTGGTGATACTACAGAGCTCTATAATTCTACCATTGATAGCCTTACTAATTAATAATTTAGCTGTTATTTTATCTCCACATAGTAACAGTAGATTAGCCACATTCTCAGCTAGCCATTCATCAGGCGAACCTGGAAATAAATATTCAAACTGAAACTGAAATCTTGGAATACACAATACATGTGTCAATACGGGAATAGACGAGGTACGGTGTCCTATGTGGTGTTTGGTGCAGGATTATCGATACAGTGGAAAATAGTGGAAGCAAATTGTGCCCACGACGTGTAAGAACCCAACGTCTTCTTCTGTATCGTTTATCCCGGACCGTACACTGGACCGGGCATCATGACTTGTCTATTCGCGGCTTTAACGTGTTACTTCAGTTTATAACAAGCTCAAATGAAATTAAATGGATGGAGTTAAACGTCCAACTCTTCTGCATCGGATTGGGCTAATGAAGACGGAGAGGGGGAGCTGGTCGCCGCATTTTTGACCCCCAAAAACTTACTAGTTAGTTCGTCGACAACACTGATAATATCATCTTCCGACCATTCTTTATTATAATTATACAGTAACTGTATGGTATCGGCTATCTCGCTGAAATGTTGGACTGACTGTTCCGAGGTGGACGGGGTATTCTCACACATCTCCAGCCAAAATATCTCGCCTGTAAAAAAAATCCATAAAATGAAAGTAAATTTAGATTAAGCTGATTTAATATGAATTTTTTATAGATACACGAAACCAACTCACGACCACCATTGTTCAATATAACCTAGCAAACACTTTATTTGCAATATTTTAGTCATATGATTTTTCTGGAATTACAGGAACATTATGGCAACCTTTTTAAGTCTTCGATGCCAGGGTCGTGGGTGGGGGCAAAAAATGACATATACCTATACAAAGCCAGAAAATTCTAAGCCTGCTAGTTGAAAAGAGAGATGAAAGATGGACAAACCTTGATAAGCTGCCCCGTATAAAAGATAAATAATTCGAGCTTGTGTGACCATGGGCCAAGGTTTTAATATTCGAGTTAACCAGAAAGCTCGGTCTGAGATGGAGGGACAGGGATCTAAAAACACTCTTCTTATCAATAATCTGATACCGTTTTCTATACCAGGATATAGACCTGCAATTAAATTGTTATTTAATAAATTCATTACACGCGTAAAAAGTAGGCCATACAATAACAATGATCATCAAGATCAAATCCTGAGCGCCTAGCAATAAACTCGTTAGAAACAATATAATGTTCTACAGTTTGGAACCAGATTGTGATGACAAGGGTTGCGCACAATGATGTGCGCAAAAGAGATAAGATTTGTAGTTCTGCCATGATTTATCAATTGGTGAACCGATGTATCGCGATACGAAATACTCGTATCGTATCGCGAGGTCTAAGTCTTGTATCGATACTTGAGGATATACCTCTCATTTTGTTTTCCTGTTGTTACATTTCCCCAACCACATCGAAACTTACCTGGCCTGGAGTTGACCACGGTTTTGATATTTTTCAACAAAGCTGTATGTTGGCAGATGGATTCGAAAGCTTTCTGACATTCCGAATCGTCCCAGCCGGCTATCACAGTGTGTAAAAATTTGCCGAAACATGTTAACGATATACAGTATTCTGCGTCGTGAACAGATTCTGAATTACAGCACATCATCTGGAAAGTAAAATAAATTTACTTGTATATTACTGACATCGAACGGTCTATCTTGAAAGTTCCTCCAACGCTCTACAATATATTCAGCTTTATGAAAACTGCCATAGATTGCTGAACGGACTGGCATCGCAAATCTTCTGTTTAAAGAGGGCATAAAGCAAATATTTCACACCATTACCAGATGTGCGTCCGGCGGCGTAAGACCATATAGGTTCATATCCTGTAGCACACAGGGCATTAGTTTATTGTCTTTTTTTCATTTCAGCACCAATTACAGACATCTTACCACTGTTGGCACTCCTTGTTAAATAAAGTAGGCAGAGCATACCTTAGTAAGAAAATCGTTGATTAATTTGAGTCGATCTTTAGTAGAATATAAACAAGTTGATCTTTTTATCAATAATCCTGCAAAAAAATAAATAAATAATATATCCATACTACAAATACAAAGACAAATTTCAAAATTGGAAACCGCACCCACCGAAGTAGGCATTGTTAGTCTGCCCTACAACATTTTGGACGATTACTAGTACTTTCGATCTACTGGATGTTTGTAGAATTGTCAGAATTGTTACCAATGGGTCGACGACCAGGCCAAATTTTTGTAGGTCGTTAGTGTGTCGGCAGTGTTTTCATATAGATTTAATCCAGACTAACACGTGCCATGTACTAATCAATGGCAGCAGATGTTTCAGAAAGGATGAACAAGCCCTTTGTCTTTGGGGGCTAAGGTACCGTACTTACCCAGTTTTTCATATTTATGATAAAAACTACCCAGTTTATCTATAGTCTGTATCAGATGTGTATTAATATGGGGGTGGGGTGTCACGTGTTGGGTGACAGGTTGGGTTATTCTATAGCCCTCTACTAGGTTCCTCATAATTTTAGAAGTTATGGTCAGGATGCTCAAATCATCAACTAGAAAAAATAGAAAAAGGAATGTGACAAGGAATACCAGACAAACTTTCATTTAATATCTTTCAAAATTATCAGATATCGTTTTCTGTTTGCTGATCTGAATAAAATTTTGATAATATAATTTGAAAAACTTCCAAAGCAGACAGTTGTTATGCCCGTCATCTGTCTGTCCAAATTTTGACTAAAGCTTTACCCACAGAATACGGGCTAACATTTTGCTCAGAATATTAGGCGAATATAATGGTATCTTTATACCACTCAGCAAATCTACTGGCTTTGAGAGACCAGGAAGTTATTGAAACTATTTCAAAACTTCCACCACTTTCTAGACCCTCTCGAGATCCCTTAAATAGCTGAAACCTTACCCCATGCATAATGCCCCTGATCCTGTTTTAAGGGTGTCTTCATTGGAGAGATTCCTTGAAAAGATTAGCCCACTTACTGGTTAAGAAATTGAGAAGATAAAATCTCAGCTCCAACGGTAGAATATTAAAATATCCTAAAGGTCCATTCTGTATCATGGAGACCCGATGGTCTTCCATTTCTTTCACCACTAAACGATTAGATCTTCTTGGTTTCTTACTGCTGTTGTTGTTCTCGTTTGAGACTATACAGACTTCAGCTGACATACTTCTAAAAAAGCAAGATGGTAAATCAAAGTCTGTTTTCAGATTAGCCTAGTATTTAGGTAGGCATATCCTTCAAAGTTTACTCTACTAGTACTAGTAGCCTTCCACCTTGGTCTAGATCTTCTTCAGGAACTTGTTCTACAAATTCCGCACTACCATAAAATAGTAGTCCATGACAGGAGAGGCAAGTTAACCCAAGAATCTGGAACTTAAAGATATTTTAGTAATCTATTCTGGACTGCTGATATTGCATCTGCTAGTTTGCATTGGGATTAGGAAATTTAACTAAGAATGGGATTCGAAGCCAAACATTTTCAAACAAAGTGACTCTGAAAATGATTCATCTATATCTAGATTACTTTAGTTCCATGCCACTTTTAACAGCAAATCAGGGTCTAGTCAGTATAGATTCCCTTCTCAACCGACATCTGTAGCCTATTTCCGTACTCGTAGTAAAATGGCCTAGATCTACTTTTCAAACTGTCAGTCACTCGGTAAGTGTCGTAGAATGAGTAAAATAATCAAGCAAGTGCTCAAGAAAACGCCATGATCTCCAGACTTTAAGACATGCAGCTATTTCGAAGCAATCGGCTACTATCAGCATCTGTTAATAAACAAACTAATGAAAAGGAAAACCAAGAAATGAAAGAGAAATGAATGTAAACACGCACCTGTTTCTGTGAACGTCTTCAATGAAGTGACGTTTCAGGCAGACGACCTACGTCGTCACACGTGACCTTCAGACGGTCATGACGTCAGATTTCCCGAAATTTTGTATTTTTCATCTAATTTTGAATAAAATTGTAAAACTTTCAATAAAATGTCTTTTGAATATTTGGTAATGTAGTAACGCAAGCCTCAAAATGTCTACTTCAAGCAGGGTTTGTATTGTAAGTAGTCAAATCGCTAGAAATATAACATCAGAACAAGAGTTGCTCCCCTTTAACCAAAAAAAATGAATGAAAAGGGAAAGTCAGATATTACTATTCGATAAAACTATTCGATACAAATTTACGACTAATTCGTCTTCCTCGTGTGTAAACAGTTGACACCTTTCATAATAAGTATAAGTAACATAAATTCTAAAAAAACAAACAAAGCAAATTTATAAAAAAAACAAAAGCTATTCATTTATCGATTAGTTTGTATTTCTTACAATTTGTAAACAAACATGGCGACCAAAACAAGTTTTCAGAAGAAAGCACGTGGAAAAATATTTCAAATCCCTGGGACTCGGCCTTCACTTTTCAACAATCAGCTTCTTGTTTCAACAGGGATTCCATCTCTCGATCATGTTTTGGGTAAAAGTTTTTTTAAAGTCTGTCATGCTTCATAATTGCATCAGTATGCGAAAGTTTACAAATAAAAATTTGGTTGTGTGTGATTTGTCAACTCTTCCATTATTTAAAAAGAAAAATAATTCGATACCCGTTCCAGATTGTGCACTGTGCAGAACCAAGTGATTGTTATTTTTTGATAAACACTTACCAGGCACTGTTGTTTATTCTAAAGTTATTTACTATTTTGTAGGAGGGGGTGTAGCAGTGGGAACAGTTTTACTCGTAGGTAGGTGGATATAATTTCTAAATAAATAGTTTGCCAATATTGTTAATTGAATGCCCATGAATATTTTCCTTTCAATCTCCAGTCAACTTAATGTTGATTCACTTTGTGACCATTCACAGTTTTTATTCATCGAGATATCATGTTACCTCATTAATAATATCAGTTGAATTTGGATTAAAAATATGAAAATAAAAAAGATGTTATCTTGAAAAACAAAGAACCATCTAAGGCCTAAGGCGCGGTATTGGATCTGCACAGGATCCATCTATATTCTCCCCGGCCATGACTTCAGATTATTTAAAAGTTTTAACTTTTTAAGGCAAGAACATTTGATACCATATTTTGAAGCACAGGGACAGTCAATAGATTCTTTTTGCATTAAACAATTTTTTTTGCAGAAGAAGATTTATTTGGAGACTATGGAAGACTGGTTGTTAAATATTTCTGTTCCGAGGCAGTGATGACTGGACAATCTTTACTACTAGCCAGTGCTGATATTAATCCTACAGATCTCACTAAGGTTAGGACAATTATCCCCCTTTGATATTTCTATTGTAAATTACAGACACTGTTTAGTATTAAAAGTTATCTCATGTTATAAATTTGTGGACTGTCAAAGATTTTCAGCAAATTGTCAAAACTTGTAACTTAACTTTGTAACCTACAAAGTAGAAATTATTTAGTTAGACTAGAGCTTTTTTAGGCTTGAAGTTACAATGTACTCATTATAATGATGTTTATATATAAAGTTTATCAGTAGTATTTTATTTTGAATGTTGTAGGACCTTCCTGCCCCTATCATAGACCAACCTAAAGATGACACTAGAGAATCAGGTGACAAACAAACCACAGATTCTGACATGAAAATAGCTTGGAGATACGAAAACCTTCCTAAATTTCAGGTAAATACAACAGGTTAATATTACATCTAGAAACTCAAAAAGTAACATAGTGTGTTTAATTTGGTCTGTGCCTAATAATCACTTTTCTAAATTTAGTAGGGTATTTCACTAGCCCAGAAAATTTCCCTCATTGCACACTACATGGTATTGACTGTCTTCATAGGCCCAATTGGGTGCAGAAAAGTTGGATGTATAACTTCATATCTTTTCATTTCAATGTTGTATATTGATGATATATTTGACAGATATGAGTATATATAATTCAATTCTAAAACTTATTTATTTATTTATTTTCAGTCCAATCCTAGTGGTATAAAATTTGGACATTATTATGATTTAAGTAAAACCATGGAAACAAGATTAGTGGAATCTATCAATATAAAATATATTTCATCTGATAATTTATATACAGATAGGTAAGATGTTTATTTGTGTAGTTTCTGATTTAAACAATATGTTTGTACACATTCAGATAGATATACAGTAGTATAGTTTAGTTTATATTGAGATGATTTTAATGGTAACAAATGTAATATACGCCTGACTGATATAGTTTCAATATTCTTTAATATATTTTATTCAAAGCGTCCTGCTAAAGGCAGGAGACACTAACACTTCTTTTGCAACACCATTACCATTTGTTTTTGATTCCCCTATCCCCACCCCCACAGAGGCTTCTTTTTGACGCATCTCAACTGATAATATTTTTATTGACAGAATTGAAAGTCAGAAGGAGAGTGGGGGATGTAGAAATTGTGAATATAATAAATTATTAGAAATAATAAAAACAACACTTGATACTAGTCAGTATTCTACAACTTCACAGATCACTAAAGATACCAATATACTCAAAATAGGTAACTCTACTATTATATCTTAAGTTTGCTTCAAGATACAATTATTTTAGGGCTTAACAAGAGGGCTTAGAACTATTTTGTCATGATATCCTATATATCCTAACTTAACTTTGCTTCAAGATACATGGTCAATAAGGAGCTTAAGAAAGGGTCATAGTTCAAATTTAAAAATGTGCCTCATATCTTTAATTTTGATCCGAATTGTTTTTGAATTACTTGTGACAGTTTATATTTGATTTTTTCAAAAATCTTCATTCCTTTCACCATTTCTCTTATGAATGAAACATTGTTTATTTATTTTAATTAATTAATTGGGAAATGGGAATGTAATGAAATATGCCCTGCTTGTTTTAGGATCCCATCTTAAATTTGTAATATATTTCATGAAAAAACAATGTGCACAAAGTCCTCCTAGAATTTGTAACTTGTATAATATTTATTATTGATTTTGCAGCAATACACAGTTTAGGATCTCCACTGTGGGATGAGAATGGTGGACTGAAGGATGATGGGAAAGGATTAGACTCAGCGTTACCAAGATTTTTATTAGCGTTAAGATCTTTACTACGAACATCATTTAGTGTAGGTTTAATCACAATACCTACTCATCTATTTCAGGTATTCTACTTTCATTTTATTAAATTTCCTTCTTGACTAATTCTTAACAATGACAGGATGGGATGCTTATATAAGTCAGATTCCTCATGATTTCAATCGACCCAGCTGTAAATGGGTACCAATAAGTTTGGAAAGATCAATACCAAGATTGCCGAGAGGTTTGGCCAAGGTCCAGCTGGTTGACAGATATTTAGAGTCAGAGGACCTAAGTTGTTATCTTGTAAAATCATATCATCATAATCATCTTAAGAGATTTGACCATGGACCAGCTGGTAGACAGGATGATCCTTGTTGATATTTTTGTGAACTCAATGCCAAGATGTCAAGGACTAGCTGGTAGACGAGATCCTTATAAATGTGACCCCGCACATCAAACCAGGTATTAAGTAGCATTTGGTGTATGTAGAGCTATTAGTATATTTGGATTCCTGCCATCATCAGCTACATTTTGATACCAATTCCATCTCAATAACTTTCTCTGTTCAGAAGATATAGTCAATTTAATATCCAGATTTGAGTACCCTTTAATACTTCACTGCCATCTCATTACTAGGCAGTGAAACTTAATACCTGATACAATGTGTGGGGCTGTTATAAGTGAAGAATTTTGATATTTTTTTTTATAAGGAAGAGTGTTTTATTAGAAGAATAGAGAAATTGTGTGATACAGTGATTCATCTAGAAAGTTTCTCAGGATCTGAAAAAGAGAAAAATCCAGTTTTTAAGGAATATCATGGTTGGTGACTATTTTGTTTTTTGAATGGGAGACATTACCTCATTTTCAGAGTAATCCTTACAACTCTAAATTGTGAAATATTGATAACGTTATAAGGATTTATTGTTGAGAAACCTTTTTTGTGAACTCTCTAGAAGGGGGATGCCAGGCCACATATTCTCGAAACAATCTTGACACTAGGATGTCCTAGAATCAATGTTAGAAGATAAGAACCTAGGACATCCTATCGCTTAGATTGTTTCGAGAATACGTGGCCTCGTTGAGAAGCTTTGATTAAGCAGTAGTATCTGTTGAAGGTGATCATGACTTGCTTATGCGACAATTGTTAAGATGTCTGTTGCACTAGATTTTATAACTCCAAATTATTTCCCTCATGGCACACTGCATGGCGTTGATAAGCTTCATTATCTTGAGCTAAACAACCATATGTCATAAGACTTCAATTCCTTTCAGTTGATTTAACAGTAAACAGCCTCTAACCCAGCAACATGCTGGAAACAGATATATGATGTATTTAAAATAATATTGAAATTTAGCTCATATCATAGACAAATGTTAAGTTATAAATACATAAATCTTCATCAGGACAGATAGTTTTATAATTGGAGGTTACCATTCCAATATCAGACTTAATGTTAGCTAATTGTCTAGAGCTCGTCCCATACAGCTTAGGACAGCTAGTTTTAGAAGTAGAGGTTAGCTTTCCAATACTGTTTTAGGACTAAATGTTCGTTAATTTTCTAGAGCTCATTTCTTGCTACCTACAGATACACAAGTCCAATCTGGACAGCTAGTTTTTGGGGTTAACTTTTCATTATTGGGCTTGATATTAGCAGCTGAGTATTTGAGCATTGATATAGCTTCTATTTTCCAGGTCTTTTAAACATTGTCCAGTTACCCAGATTAAACTCTATGACATCACATCAACCAGACACTCTCGACCTGGCTTTTAAACTACGTCGTAAAAAATTTACCATTGAGGTGAGTGTTTAAAGGTGCCCTCATACCATATCGATTACCAGTTGTTTATGGTTGCAAATAATGAAAGTGGTTATGAATTCCACCCTAACAACGGGACTGAATTTGACATTGTGAAGATGATGGTATAGATGATGCTGGTTTTAAATGGTTGTAGTCATTGAATTCTAAGTACATTCTTTTATTTTCAGCAACTTCATCTACCTCCTGAGTTAGGAGAATCAGGGGCAACAACTCATGATCCTTTACAAAATCTCAAATCAACAGGATGTACACCAGGTGGCGCTGGCAACAGTAAACTGGATTTTTGATAAAAGTGCTTATACGACTAGCAAAAATGAACATTATTAGCTACATGAACTCTCTGAAAGAGATGTCAAACCTAAATACCAGATAAACATATTCAGCTTTGTGGACTCTTTCAAAGTGATGCCGAGTTGACAAACCTAATTACCGAATAAACGTTGATTTATTTATTTGATATGTGGACTCTCTGAAATGGATTTTGAGTTGACCGTCTCGGCTTCTGAATGACATCGGGTTTTTAGAAAGACTAGTGGAGAGTTGGATTATCGTCACTTAATGGTATTAGGCCCCATTAATATGAATTCCTCCAAAGCAATTGTTTTCAACATAAAAACTAATCTTGTCTTCAGCCATTCTGTTGTGATTTCATGATATACAATAATAAAGCTAAGAAACAATGAAATATTTTATTATTGCCAAAAATTATTTCTAAATCACAGGTTCCTAGACCCTGAGTCATCCTAAACTCAAACTTAGAGAGTTTTATTGTCTGGGATATTTCTACATGACAATCATTATATTTAAACCTATACGCATCGTTCGGTTGAGTGAATAAACCGAGGCCCCGTGTGCTACAGGCTATGCACATTAAAGATCCCTTAAGAGTTGGAAATCCAAAAAGAGTATGTCATGCTTTAGTCTTCACATTACTTTGAGACATTGCAAAATCATGGCCTGTATGATACAGGCTGTGCATATTTGAGATCCCTTAACAGTTAGAAATCCAAAAACAGTAGGCGAATGACATGCTTGCCATCTTCGCCTTGCTTCGAGACATTGTAAACTGTTTTGGTTGAGGTCATCAACAGGTAGAAATATCTCAGACAACTTTCAACAATTCAAACATATAACAAAAAAACAAAAACTTAAATTTAATTATTAAAATTAACCAAATAAACATTATTAGATATGTGAACCCTCTGAAAAGTAAATTGAGTTGAGAAACATAAAACCAAATGAACAATATGAGCTATGTGGATTCTCTTAAACAATTGCTGAGTTGACAAACCTACTAGATACCCAATAAACATTATTATTCATGTGGACTCTATGAAAAAGATGCTGAGTTGATAAACTTAAAAAAATGAGCAATATTAGCTTTTTGAACTTTGTGAAAAATAAATCTAGACAAACTAAATGCCAAATGTAGATTATTCACTGTGTGGACGCTCTGAAAGAATATTGAGTTGACAAACTAAATACCAAATGTAGATTATTAACTGTGTGGACGCTCTGAAAGAATATTGAGTTGACAAACTAAATGCCAAATGTAGATTATTCACTGTGTGGACGCTCTGAAAGAATATTGAGTTGACAAACTTAAAACCAAATGAGCAATATTAGCTATATGAACTTTCTTAATGGTCAATCGAGACGAAAAGTTTAAATATCAATAAACCATATTAGCTGTTTAGATTGAGTATATTTCCTTAAAATCAGAGAAGCAATATCAAATTTGTATACTTTTTGAAAGGAATATCAAGTTGACAAACTCAAATCCAAATAAACAATATGAGCTACAGGTCCTTTCCAGTAATCAGCCTAAAATATATCAAAAACTCTATATTTGATATGTGGAAATTCTTTTACATATAATAAAATTATCTCTATAAAAACATAAACAAAAAAAACACAAATTTTACATTTTGTGCATTTAACAATAGCTACTATCTCATGTGGGCACAGCGTCTCAAAAAATCTTATCTTCAATTTTTGTCATAAAATAAAAATTTGACGAAAATATTTTTTGAGATACACAGCCCAACTTGTGTTCTATAAATAATTCTATGTGCATCTTATATTTTTGCAATTAGTTAAATTTACAGTATTTACAAATTACAGACCAGCTTCACAAAAAGCTCTATAATATAGCATTCCAGTTATCTGATTGGTCAATCACTAAAATTTGAATTAAAATGCCATTTTATTAGAAAATCAAATTATTGTACTTAGAATTGTATTTTTTGGCAAAATACAGATAATTCTTGTGAAGTTAATCACTGACCAATCAGATTTCTGTATTTCTTGATCTCGTTATGATGATTTTGGTATTCCAGTTATCTGATTGGTCAATCATCAAAATTAAATATAAATGTTGTTTTTTTAGCCAATCAGATTACTGTATTTCTTGATTGAAGTTTTCCATCCATTTGATTGGTCAATCATAAAATTAAATTATTGTACTTCAGATTTATATTTTTTCTCAAAATACAGATAATTTTAGTGTTCCCTCTTCCGATCACTAAAATCGATTTTAAATTAAGTTATTAACCAATCAGATAACAGTATTGTTTTTTAGAATCTTGATTGTATTTTGTGAAACTGTCCATTGGTTTATTTTTTCTACAATTTACAGAAAACTTTAACAAGATATAAATAATTTCAACAACTTCATATTAACAATTACTCTAACGTGGCTTAATAAATTAGACACTTTCTCTCTAATAGAGATTCTGAGGATTAATTAGGCATAGGTCAGGGATTAATTAGGCATAGGTTAAGGCTTTTCAGCCAGTTTAACTCTGTAAGCAATGCAGGTCGGAAAGGCTGACAAAAATGGAGGCCTTATGCGTTACGGTAAAGATCTGTTAAAAGTTGGAAATTTATAGGAATAGGCTAATGTCACTGTCCTGACAAAATTTCACTCACTGCTCACTTTGATGCATTCTCCGTCTTCAACTCAACTTGTTGGAGAATTTCACCTCCATTTCATCTCATTTTCTTGGTTAAATCTTGCTCCTCGAATTTTAACGACATAACATTTATATACATTATATATATATATATAATCAACAATACTAACAATAACAATCTCTCTTCAGTTCAGTCCAGAAAAGATGTTCGTGCACATAGAGGTTTTATCACTAAATTTCACTGAAGCTGGGAATAGACCAGGGGTAGTGTACAGTGCTGGATTATTGATATATTAGAACTAGTAATCCACACTGTGTCTGGACCCGTACCTCTGTGCTCACCGCTTCTATTTGTGTTTGTATCGATTATCCCGCACCATACATCACACTGTACACCGTACTATGTCTATACGCGATTAAAGACAGTTTTCAACATCACATTTTATACCAGAGCCTGACTTATTGCATCCTTTCACTTCATGCATTTCATAATTCATATTTATTATTTTTTTTTGCATATTAAGCACATTTTTTTGCATCACAGACTTTAATATTGAGACATGGTGCTGCATATATTCATGGTATTTGATATTTAGAGTTCATTTTTGCTGCATTAAGGATATTTATACTAATTCATGAGTATTTTACTATAAGCTGAGCAAAGTCTGTCCGTATCCCCTTTCTGCATATTGATAATATTCGATATAAGCTACAGTTTGTCGTTTTCATTATTTTTAGCACAGGACCAAAAAGACCAACGCAGCAAGGCCCTTCCCCGTATTGTTCCTTTCTGTTTTTGGGTTGTACAGTTTCCGTAACTATTTTTTAACTTATACACATTGCCATTTCATTGATTCACATTATAGCAAGAATTTTCTCACACTAAAAATAAATTGAATCACAATTAATCTATTTGCATTAAACGTAAAAACTTTACAATTTGCAGCAATATTCCTGAAACGCACGAACACGTTACTATGACAACGCGAAGTTGACACGCTGTGGTGAACGCCTCACTCTGGCCCGATTGTCTTTACAATTATCACTCAAATCATTGGTCGAACTGTTACGACTTAAACATGGAGTCAACTGATTGGCTGAATTATGTCTGCTTAAGCAAGAGGCAAGCTGATTGGCTGAATTATTCCTACTTAAGATAGGCGTCAGTTCATTGGCCGAATTTTTCCTACTTAAGCAAGGGGAGGTTTCACTGGCTGAAGTATTTCCATTATAGTCAGCTGGCAGCTCATTGGTTGAAATATTCTCGTTCATGTCACCTGACAGTTCATTGGTTGAAAAATTTCTACTTAAACAAGATGAAATTTGATTGGCTGAACTGTTTCTAACTAAAGTAGGCGACTGTTGATTAGATCTATACAATGTAGGAGATTGCCGGTTGGCTGAATTATTTCTACTGATAGTAGGAGAGTTCTGATTGGAGGAACTATTTTTACTCTGTTTCGACGCATGTTTGCTGGAGGATTTTTTACGACTTGATTTGTCTTTTTTCGATGACGATGATTTTTTACATGTTAATGGACTAAGATGATTGGGCGATTGTTTTCGAGTATTTGCAGGGCTTCTATTGGATGAGGATTTACGAGCATTGTAGGGAGAAAGCTGATTGGTCGCTCCTTTACGAGTTGTAATAGGACTGATCTGATTAGTTGAACCAATTGATTCAACATCTGATGGAATCTTGTTGACCTCTGGATTAGTGACGATAAATCGCGGAACTGGAAATACCAAATCTGTGATGGAACTACGTCGACTGGTATCATCAATCGAAGAACGTCGGGAACTAACGGACATGTCGTTGTCGGAGGTGATGGAACCTGTATCGTAAGCGTTGGGAACTGATAAAAAGTTATAACTATTAACTGTATTTTCGTTACTTGTACTACAGCCGTCATATTCATTTAAAACACTCTCCCGTCTTGCAAACTGACTGATTTCATTATCCATTGAACCTGAACTCACTGAATCTTTATCATCAGCCACAGACGCTGTACTCATCACCAATTTTACTAAAGTGTAGAATTTTGAATCTTTTCTTCGACGCGGGGCGAACTTTCCTGAAATGGAAATAAAATTGTATGACAATGGAGATAATTAAATTAGGTCAAAATACAACAATGGTCACTAGTCCATACAAAACTAAATGATATGGTTCTTATATAGAAATAAATAACCTCCACGAACATAGTTTACAACCATTTTGAAACTGTACCTCAAATTTTAAAAAAAACTATAATATTTCATTTAATATATCCATTTCTAAGCCTCTAAAGTGATTTGAAGGCTTAAATTGAAATACAATAGCCTTTTTAAAAATTCGAGGAAGTGATTCAAAATGGTTGTGAACTATATTGATTTGTGTTATTCCATTAAAGAACCATGCATAGTTTCTTATGGTCATCAGATCTGTGTTTCATATAAATCAGTAATTGAAGGGAAAACATATTTGTTAATAAACAACTAAACACTAGGCATGCAGCATGTCAGTTGAGCTTACAAAAAATATACTAACTGAAATTGAGAGTCCATGGTTTCTTAAATTGTTTTCTATATTGTGGATATTCACCATTAATTAACAAATGTTAACAATTAGTAAAGGAAATTTGAAATTTGTTTAATATTCTATATCTGTGTCTAATTATTAGTGATGTGATTTATTAATATTTGACTTATTCCATTGTGATATGTTTGTGTATTTTATATCTAGTTTGTGTATTCTGTGAAGGTTTGTGAAATTTAGTGCCAAGAGAATTTATTCCAAATACGTTAAATGGTTTCAGAATATATATATGTTTGTATATTATTAGTGTTTTCTGTGAAATTCTGTGACATCAAACTTACTTTCTGTCATGAAAAATATAAATATCTACTCCTCTCTCTTTACAATACTCAGCTTTTAAAAATCAAAATAACATTGAAAGGAAGGGAGAGTGGGTTGGAGAGGAATAATAGAAAGACAACATGCTCTTTTGGGATTTAAGAAATGAATGGATTGAGTTTGAAAAGTAGGATGGTTTGTTGAAAGAGGAGAAGAAACAAAAAGAGCATGTTTTGATAAGAAAGGATGAAGATGGATTCTGAAGACAAAAAATTTCTGTATACTGTTTTATATAAAGAATAAAATTAATCTAATACAGTCCATCAAAATTGGATGTAACTTGTACAAAAATATTGTTTTAAAAAGTCACCAACTGAACGGAGGTGGAAATAGAAATAAAAGTTGGTTACCTAGGAGATTATCAATCTTCCATTCTTCCATTCCATCTTTGATACAAAATGTCCGAACTTCATGTAACAAGCCCTAAAATATAACAATATAGGTTATCTCCCTTTAACCCTAGTCATTTTGAATATAAAACTAAGAATCTGTAATATTTGAGAGTTGATTTATCAATTCATTAATAATGATTAGTTTATTTTTGTGATTTCGAATTCAAATCCAAACAGAGTAACCTACCTTGAGTTCGTCCACCTCGTTTCGAAGATTATCGACAGTTTTATCCAGTTTTTTTTTGCGACTGTACAGAAGGCGAAGTTTAACATGTTCATGATCTATCACAGCTACGACTAGACCTGCAGAATAAAATAATTTCATACTGAATTACTCTTTCCTTTTGTCATCCCAATTTAGGTGTTTAGGGTAGACAACTCTAACAAACTCCTCTTGGAAGCACTGACACTGGCATCAGAATTTTTCTGAGGATTTGAATCTCGCTACTGACTCACTGCTTAATGTGCCATCACACTTAAGCAAATTTAAAAAAAAAGATAGCTTGCCAGGCAAGGTAATATACGCCCACTGATAGCTTTGTTTGAAATTGAATATTTGTTAGAAAATAGCAAACATAGACACCAGGAAATATTCAACTTATACCCAAATCCATCACAAACTGTGCCATCACAAGTTAAAAATCAAACACATTTGTAAGAATAACGGCAATAACATGTATTTTATATTTCAAAAGGTTTAGTTTTGATTGTGATCAATTTCATCAAGTTGTCAAATTTGTTTTAGACTTCTGCTTTGTAGAATAAAAATTACGTGTTTTACAAGATTTTTGATCAGATTTATCCTTGGGTGATTTCAATAAGTCTGTCATGAATTGTGTATTTGCAGATTATATTCAAAAATAGTCTGTCAAGAATTGTGCCTCTTAGAGTGTTAGCTAAAAAAAAATTGAACGCGTTTTCAAGAACAAGGGCAATAATTCATACTACATATTTTTCGATTTCCCTGATTTTTCTATAGGGTTTATCCTTTGGGTGAATACGAACACTCATACCAAGTTTCGTCAAAATCTGTCAAGAATTGTGCCTTCTAGAGTGTTTATGAGCTAAAAATTGAACGGTTTGCAAGAACAAGGGCAATAATTCATACTAAATATTTTTCAATTTCGCTGATTTTCAATGGGCTATATCCTTGGGTGATTACAAACACTCATACCAAGTTTCGTTAAAATCCATCAAGAATTGTGCCCTGTAGAGTGATTACGAGCTAAAAATTGAACGTGTTTTCAAGAACAAGGGCAATAATTCATACTAAATATTTTTTGATTTCGCTGATTTTCAATAGGGTTTATCCTTGGGTGATTACGAACACTCATACCAAGTTTCGTTCAAATCTGTCAAGAATTGTGCCTTCTAGAGTGTTTACGGGCTAAAAATTGAACGCGTTTGCAAGAACAAGGGCAATAATTCATACTAAATATTTTACGATTTTGCTGATTTTCAATAGGGTTTATCCTTGGGTAATACACTAATACCAAGTTTCGTCAAAATCAGTCAAGAATTGTGCCTTCTAGAGTGTTTACGAGCAATTGTGGACGGACGGACGGACCGACGGACATGGGTGAGGACAATATACGCCCCCCATTTCATGTGGGCGTATAAAAATGGCTACTTACTATTTACAACCCGTATGACTCTCCATGGCAACAAGAAAGCCAGAATAAAGATGGAGTCACTGATGGCAAAATTAGATAAACCTTTCAAAAATATTAAATCTACTATAAAGGACAGGAGAATTATCACTGCATCAAAAACCTGGAAATAAACAAAATATACAACTTCCAATACAAGAAAATTTTCATGAATATTATTTGCATATTTATATTGTGTAGTAATTTTGTTGGTGCACATGCGTTAGCTTGTGCCTATATATATATATATATAAGTAGAAAAATTCGCGCCTTTTTCTTTACTGGAGTTACTCGGGATTTATTATTATGTCTTGATTGAAATCTAGCATATTTAGTCTTAAAGGGGTTGATTGGGACGGAGGAGACAAATAACATATATTATTGTCCTGTTGTTTATTGTTTCGGCTAACCGCCTTCTTCAGAAACACTTGATCAAATTTTTTTTCCGTCTTTCCTTTACTTATTTAAAGTTTAGAAGTAAAAAATGGTATTATAAGCTACTGAAGTGTTTCTGAAGAAGGCGTTAAGCAAAAACCTTAAATAACAATAATATATTATTGTTTTCCCCTTTAAAGGGAATTTGTGATGAAATTTAAATATTTTTCTATTGAGAAATGACTGGTAGATACAGTGCAATAAAATAAATAAAACAAATAAACAATTGGTATTTCCGTATATAAATGATTTATTTAAGATTTGAACAACAAGAATTACAACACATTGTAACCTTTAGATAACCCCAGGTTAAATTCCTAATAAAGACAAAACTATCTTAGAAATTGACAACTTTAATTTAAATTGAAACGCTAGACTGAAATAACTCGGATGAATAAAAAATGTCTTTATTTGAAAAAAAAATCGTTAAAATGCATTTGAGATGAAATTGTTCTATAATAGAAATTGTCTAGAAATGAACTTGGTTAAAAAACTGAATGACTTTCTCGAGTTACATTGAGCTTTTACAATATCAGGAATAATTGATTTTAAAATCGTATCTTGTATGTTAACGAGTGTTCCAATCGTTTTATTTTCATTTTAATTCTATTAGAAAAGATTTTCTTGTCAGAGTGTTCCATATTTAAAGGTCTGTTGTTCCAACAACAATTTTAATTATATTGTTTCTATTTGAGTTAGGAATTGCTGACGATATGTTATTAATTTTCCACACTGTTGAGTTGAATTATAGAGGATGTTAAATTTCCTTATAACTCTTTTTAAATAATATAATAGATCTTGAAACAGAATGAGTAGAACAGGAGAATTTGCACAGTGAAATGTAAGTTGTACATACAATTTGGCAGTCATTTTTTTGAGTCTTGTAATGTGCAAGAGATTAAGGAGATTGGAAGTAACAAGTTACTGTTGAATATCAGGCGCTATCACAGGGTTCAAATTAATTTACAACTATTGTGGTGTTAATATTTAGTAAAATAAGCAAAAGAAAGTAATTTGGAAAGGTTATTGGAGACCTACATTTTAAAACTTAAATCTAAGATAAAATTTTAAAAAGAAATTTTTGTACACCCACTGGCATATCCCTGGAACTCAACATGAGTTTTGAAATAGATCTATCACATTAGTTTTCTAATAAAGATTAAAGTTATGCTTACCTCAATTTTTCTTTTTACAAAATGTGAACCAGCACACAGTATTTTTAAAGAGACCTGAAAATAGAAAAAAAGAAGAGAATAATATCAAATGTTTGAAATATTTTAACAAGTATATATCAGTTTTCTCCTTGTGAATTGAATAATAGTTTTGATAGGTATATATCAGTTTTCTCCTTGTGAATTGAATAATAGTTTTGATAGGTATATATCAGTTTTCTCCTTGTGAATTGAATAATAGTTTTGATAGGTATATATCAGTTTTCTCCTTGTGATATGAATAATAGTTTTGATAGGTATATATCAGTTTTCTCCTTGTGAATTGAATAATAGTTTTGATAGGTATATATCAGTTTTCTCCTTGTGATTTGAATAATAGTTTTGAATGGTAAATATAATGCTTTTGATTGGTATAAGAGTTGTGATATCAATGGTTTTCTCAGTGTGATTTGTGATTTGATAGGAATATGTCAGTTTTCTCCTTGTGAATTGAAATCTAATTTTTAAAGACAAAAATGCAGTCAGATATTTTGGAGCTTAAATCAGACATGACTGGCATTAAACAAATCAGCAATCCTTATTAACTCCTTGTCATCTAACCTAGCCTGATTGCTCCTGTCACAGTCCCATTAAAATTTTATTGCACACCGAATGGCAGTATCATTCATTCATTCATTCGTTAATTCATTCATTCATTCATTCATTCATTCATGCATGCATTTTCTCATTCATTCATTCATTAATCCATTCATACATTTTCTCATTCATTCATTCATTCATTCATTCATTCATTCATTCATTCATTCATTCATTCATTCATTCATTTTCTCAATCAATCAATCAATCAGATATAATTCTAACTAATGGTTAATTAAACAAGCCGATAGTTTAAAAGTAATCAAAGAAATTCTGAAGGCAAAATCAGTACTTAAATTACACTTCCAAGGTTACCACTAACGAGGTAATTGTGAATGAGACAATTCCCTGTGGAATTCTCCGAGAATTGTCAGGAACCAATATTGCCCCAGATATTGGCGGCGTCAAATTACTAGGCCAAGGTTTAATTTGAAATAGAGACTAATTGATTGAATAGTGATTACAGGGCTGATGGCAGGAAAGGAAGCTATGAAAAGAAAACTAAATTGAGGGAAAAACAATCTGGGTAAAATATAACTAGAAATATTAAAACAGAATCTAAAAAAACATGCTGTTACTCAGAGTTTCAAGCTATGTGATCTTCAGACAACTGACCTATTTTTGTTGAACATGTAGAACTTATTCTCATGTCTACACTTCGAGATGACTTTGGAATGATAGTTTAAAGACATGTGCTTAGGGGCTAAAAGAGGATATTTTTTTTTCATTTATTTTCTTTGAGCTAATTTTGATCTTAGTAGCACTCATGATATTTTGTTTTACTTGATTATTAGTTATCAAATCATTATTCAAAATCTTTTATCCTTACTATATTTGCTCTCCTCATTATAACCTGTTACACCCTCTAGGTTGTCTTATTTCTTTACACACTCTAGGTTGGCTGACTATATATTCTGTACTATAAGAACATATAAATTGAGATGAAATTTCTAAATCATGTCTTTTAGCTTCAAGTTATCTGTTGAAACACAATTTAGCTGTTAAAAAGATCAAAATAACAATTTATTTTCTGGTTTGAAATGTCAAACATGTCTTGTGGCAGGTTTTTATTGACAAAAAAATATCAATCTCAAAATGATGTTAAGATATTTTTAGAAAACGTTTACCACCAAGTTGGACATCGATTAAATAATTTTATATTAAAACAAGTTAAATATCTATTAAATTGAGTATAGGAAACAATTTTCTTAGTATATTTTTTAAATATCAATATCTGTATAATGATTTTAAAGTAGAGTTAATACTGAATTTTAGAAAAGAAAGAAAAAATAAAAATCAGACAGTTTTTGAAAAGTTATTTCCAAATGAAGTTTATAAAAACAGATTATGCCTACTATTGACATTATTGTCGTATAAAAACAAGAATTGTCTTTGAAATATTGCTGAAAATTTATATATTATGCAACATTTAGAACACAAAGCTAAACTAAAACTAGTCTAAGAACACAATAATTGTGGGGGGTCTAAATCTTGACAGGGTTGAAACTATTAGAATCTCACTTTGTTACAATATTCAATATATTGGTTGAGAGAACAAAAGTTATCCTAAAGTCACACAATGTTAATTGAAAACAGCTAATATCATTCACTTAGTAGTGTCACAAACTAATACTTTTTGAGGGGGTCTACGTCTTAAAAGGGCTAGGTGATGGAGTCAATTATACAGGGTTGAAAAGAGCTGAAATCATACAGCTAGTAGTACGACAAACTAAATCTGAGAATTACTGTCAATCTATTTAAAATCCAATCTCTGTCACATCTGGACCAATACCAGCTTTGTGGATTGTTACTTATTTTCGTTTCATCCTACATCTAGTTTTCTTATTCAATGTCTCGGTGGACTGAGTTTATTTTGAAGATCAACAAATCCTCCATTAGTCATTAGTAAGAGTTAGTTTAGTTTGTTCAAGTCATTCATTGTGACCTACGCTAAAAGTATTGACAATTATCGTTCCAAATTGAGTTCTCAAAAGAATATTACAATCACTGACATTCAAAGATGTGATCGCACTCTTCGTTAAATCAGTTGTACGAGTCATTCATCGTGACCCACCATTGGTTTAAGAGAGTTCTGGCAGCAAATATTATAAAATCAATTTCTTCCGTCTTCATTAGCCACAAGGTGCAGAAAAGTAGGAAGTAAAACTAAATAAAATCAATTTCTTGAAAGTGTGTAACAATCACATTTAATCAAAGACTCTCCTTAGACAGAGTTAGTTTGGGTTTCTTTCATTCCGTGGGGTACTATTGGTTATATAAGTATGGGTGGGGCAGACTGGTTTGCTCGAATATTTTGGGTTGTTTCTTCGGCGTTTTTTCTGTCATAACCACCCTCTGCCCCCGGACAGCTACGCCTATGAAGAAGTGTCCCACTATTTATAATTAAAATCTGATGTCTGATTGATGTTTTAATACAAAAAAACATAAGGGCAGAAGTGACAATAGACTTAATATCCAGGCCTTTCTCTTTTTCTTTAATATAACATGTATTAATAAAAACAATATTTATTCTCTAAACCATCTTATTGCTAGGATATCCTAGGTTCTTATCTTCTAACATTGATTCTAGGACATCCTAGGTTCTTATCTTCTAACATTGATTCTAGGATATCCTAGGTTCTTATCTTCTAACATTGATTCTAGGATATCCTAGGTTCTTATCTTCTAACATTGATTCTAGGATGTCCTAGGTTCTTATCTTCTAACACTGATTCTAGGATATCCTAGGTTTTTATCTTCTAACACTGATTCTAGGATATCCTAGGTTCTTATCTTCTAACATTGATTCTAGGACATCCTAGGTTCTTATCTTCTAACATTGATTCTAGGATATCCTAGGTTTTTATCTTCTAACACTGATTCTAGGATATCCTAGGTTCTTATCTTCTAACATTGATTCTAGGACATCCTAGGTTCTTATCTTCTAACATTGATTCTAGGATATCCTAGGTTCTTATCTTCTAACATTGATTCTAGGATGTCCTAGGTTCTTATCTTCTAACACTGATTCTAGGATATCCTAGGTTCTTATCTTCTAACACTGATTCTAGGATATCCTAGGTTCTTATCTTCTAACACTGATTCTAGGATATCCTAGGTTTTTATCTTCTAACATTGATTCTAGGATATCCTAGCGCTAAGATCGTTTCAAGAAAACCTATCCAGGTCTTTCTCTTTTTTCTTTAATAAAACATGTATTAATAGAAATAATATTTATAATATAGTAAGCCTACACAAATTGATCAATAAGATAAATATGTGAATGTGTGATTTTCCACTGATATTAACCGAGATATATTCTGGAGTAAACTACGGAAGATAATGATTGGAAATGAAAATCAAGGTCGTCACATTCAGACCAGCAATTTCCGTCATTTTGTAGCAGAAATAGAAACTAGTTCTAAATTTATCGTGTTATCAACTAGTAGACTTATTACTTTCTGTCTTGGCAGAGTTCGAGCAAAATTCATAACATTAAAGAGAGGACTGCTTCAGGTCTCCAAGGTTATAAAATCTTAGTATTTATTAGATTTCATTTTAGTGTTGGCTGTGGAATTATAGATCTTCTGGGTCTGAGAAAGTTTGATTTGCCAAGACAAAAATTGCGTAAAATACTTTTTTTTTATTCCATTTTGTAATATTTAGAAATTGTGAAATTCCAAAAAAAAAAAAAAAATCCAGACAGTCATTTGTTACACTATAGCTAGCACATAATAGATAAATTTCCCAATATTTATCTTCCCAAGGTAGTTTTTTCCTCTTCAATCAGGAGAAAAGGAAAAAACCCGAGATTTTTTCTATTGACTTAATTTTGTTCAATAAGAAACATCATAAAATGATGCAAAATGTGAGATTTTTTTGATTCAACTGTCACTTTAAAGTGATAATAACCTGTTCGTTCAATAACATCGCTCTTCACGTCGGATGTTAATTATACACAGTTACCTCCCCTGTTGAGCTAATTTCCTGTCCTTTTCTCTCGTGAAGAAAATAACTTTTCCGTTTAAACGTCTAATTGTACTTCTCCTTCTCTCTTTATTTAGATATGATGTTACATGTTCATCTACGATATAATCATTAAATTTATTTCTTTAACTTCCACATTTTAATCTTGACTAACTGTCAATGGAAATATGTCTCCTGTCAATCTTTTTTTATTCTTTCAACCCAGTTTCTAGTCAAATATTCTGTATGTTAGTAACATAGAAACTTGACTAGAAACTGGGTTGAAAGAATAAAAAAAGATGGACAGGAGACATATATCCATCAAAAAATTAGCACCTCCATTACTGAACAAAATTGGCCATTTAGGAACTACGTATTTGACTGTATGTTCTCACTAAATAGTTAGATATAATTCTTATAGGGGAATATGTACGAGCTCCAAAATGACAAGAAATCTTAAAAAATCTCTTAGTTTTTCCATTGAAGTAGAGTTCAAACTTTATAGCTTATAAATTATAAAAAAAAAAAAATTTCACCATAATTCTTGGTTGTAACTTTAAGTCTCTAGACTATTAATTAGATATTTGAAAATATAAATTAACTAAATTATAATTAATTTTACACTAACTCCCACTGCAATATTTTATCCTTCTAGAATGTAATGTAAAGTAATGCTGTATAACTCTATGTTGTTGTATAATGAAAGAAGTAAGAAAACACCTTTTAAGATGAAAATAAATTTATATCACTGGGGTCTGGCCGTAGGGCCGGAAAAAATTTTTTAAGTACAATTTTTTCCTCAAATCCTGAAATTTACTCAAATTTTTAATCTTGAGTAAATCCCAAAATTGCTCTGAGTAAAACCTGAGTAAAATCAGAGTCCACAAAAATTTTGTAACTCATTGGTTGGATTTTACCAAGACCAAGACCAAGACGTAGTTCATAATGGCTTGACATTGTGAAGATGTACCTGATATTGGTCTTGTAGATTACACCCTGTGGATAAGCTTGAACTGGAAAACTGACATAGAAGAAAATGAAATTGATCAAGCCGACGATCTATACCATAAAGTTAAAAATATTTTAATTCAAGTCACTTCAGTGCCTCAACTAAAGTTGGTTTAAATTGCTTTCAAGTTGCGTTTAAATCATCGAAGTTTATCTCCGCTATTCAAACTCTTCAGTCAAAGGAGGTAAAATTTCGTCAGAAACTTGAAAGCGTCTGTACTGAGAATTCTATTCATTTCTATTCAAGCATTACTTATACAGAATAATAGCTTCTTGAAGACTTGGACTTGACGAAACTATTACATTGAAGATATTTACGATAATAGCAACGTGGTGTTTTCTGAGAAAACAAGTCAAGATGACCTGTGACATTCAGGAATAAAACCAACATAAAACATAAATCAGTCACACTAAAATGTCAGAGATCAAAGAGAAAAACAATCACAAGCTATTATGATATTAAATGAAGTCTTCTGTCATATTTTCTCCTTCTGATTAGGATAATGAAGTCGGGTAATGCTCATCCGTGTGCAATGAGGGAAAATGTGCCAGGATAGTCATTTAAATTACTGATTTTTATTTTTTATTTTTCTTAAAACAAACATTTTAACTTGAACTCTAGCCACACTAAAATGTCACAGATCAAAGAGAGGCAATAATCGCAAACTAATATGATATTAGACGGAATCTTATGTCATATTTTCCTGCAAGAGATTCGGATACTGAATGCAGTGTGTGATGAGAGAAATTTTGCTAAAACAGTCAGAGGCGTTTAAATTTTCTTTTTTTTTTTTAGGAAATTGGGGTTTTATTCCCAAAAAATATCTGAATTAGAAATATATCAATCAACCCTTTTCCTTGTCTTTTCTTGTT